TCACCTGAAACTGCCCATATTAGGGTACTTCTGCTCCATTCCACTACACTGAAGTTCTGCATGGACTTGTAATGAGCAGTCTTTTCTCTAGAGGGCTGACACAAATTGAATTGAGGGTTGGGAATTGAGTTTAGAGTTTAACACTTGCCTTGGTGAGGATTTTGAATGCTTCCTGTCTGTGCATTTATTGATCTTGCTTTTATATCATTCTTAAGGGGAAACTTTTTATTTCTTTCCCTTACTGTGCGTTTTTATCTTTTTCTCTCTCTCCATGAGCAAATTAAATGAAGAAAATGGTTCATTAGAGTATGCAAGAGCCTGTTTTTAGGAAATTTTACTGGAAGGACGCACCTAGGGGGACTGGTAATCCTGACTAATTTCCTTAATTGTGTATTTGTTGATTTCTGGGTATTATGGTGGTCTATTTTGGATGAGAAACCAGTTGTAAACTTGCCTTGTTGCAGTTGAGGTTGGCTTAATCTGGATAGTGACTCTCCTGTTTGCCTTGTTTACTTCCAACAAAGTATTTAATGTATAACACGAAGTGAGACATCTGGAAAAGGTTATTTCTATTCTTGGTCTGAAACGCCTTGGAAGCAAGAGTTCCTTCACAGGCCAATCTGTTCTGTAATATGTGTACCCTGCCCTTCTAGTGATGTAGATTCTCTTAGGCTTGGTATTTCCAGCCAAGCCTTTGGTCTCAGTCTGTAGGGCAACAGTCTGTAGGGCTATAATGCTTTGGATGGTGGAGTACTAGGTTAGATCACTTCACACTGGTTTGCTAATCCAAATGTTACTTCTGGAAAATGGCTGAACTTAAAAACACAAAAACCCCCAATCATGTAGCTGCTTATTGGTCATCTGTCTCTTGAAGTCCAGCATTCTCTCTGGGCAGTTGTAGAGACTTGTCTCTATTTTACTGTGCCTTTTGAGGGTGTCTCTTACCTGAGCTTTAGCTCACCCTTATTTTGTAGGGGTGTTATTGTTCTGAGATCCTCTAATGGTAACAGAGTTGTGTTGGTCATTGAAGTCCTGCTTTTGGCGAGTGTGTAACAATGCTCTATTTTTGCTGAAGTAAACATAATAGCGGACTGTAAGGATTTTCCTTACCTCTCAGCTGTGTTTAACATTAGACTTCCATCTAGAGAGCAGACTTCTTGAGAGATGTTCCTTTTAAACTGCACTGTTAAAACTCTTTGCAGCTTGCAGCAGAGAACAATTGCCTAAGTTGTAGAGGCCCAAGTCTGTAGGTAGGTGCATGCTTGGACTCTGCTCTCAGATCATGAGAGGACAAAGTATTCCGACTTCCTGAACTGACTGAAAGCACTTGCCTTTGACTTGGTTATTTAGTGATTGCCTGGTTATATGAAACTTGAGAGAGAGTAGGCTTTATAGCTATTAGTGGAAATGGCAATAAGTGTCAGAGCTTCATATATCCCCTTCCTACGCTGAGAAACAAAGGTCATGCCATGGATGAGTGTACCCTGCAGGAAGACACAGGTTTCTGCCAGGTTTAACTGCACTGAGATCCGTCTGTGCTTGTTGGGTGCTGCGAGTGCCATGAGAGCTCCTCCCTCTGCTCAGTGGGGAGAGGTTGTTTTTAGTTTGAAGGTGACTCTAGAGTGTTATCTGGTCATGTCTGTCTTTGCCACTGTCCAGCTTGATCGAATACTGCCCGGTCCCCAGGAGAATTGCTCAGCTCTGTGATTGGCTCTGTTCTGTGAGGAATGCCTGGCTTTTGTGAGCTGATTTCAATTTCCAGCCCAACACCATTTGAAATCGTTTGAATGCCTCTGATCAATTCCAGTGGGTTGATGCTGGCTGTACTGGTATGTCCTAGGACTCAGCAGGTGCTTTCCCCAGCCTTGAGCGTCCGAGACTTCGATTAGTCTGCTTTGTGTTGGAAAAGCAGAGAGGGGATATTAATCCCATGTGAAAAGGGAATGATACTTGTTATTTTTATCATTTGAATTCAAGGGTGCCTAGAGAGGCTCAGCAGATCCACATTACTATCTGAGCTGTGCATGAAGTGCCTTCTAATTTGGAGCAAGTAACTTTGAAATATCTTATCAGTGCACTATAATCAGCTTGTATCTGTAAAGGAAACCTTGATCACTAGCAGCTCCCACTTTAAATCAGGCTTCAGTTAAAATGGGACTGATTTTTACAAATACTGTAGTCAATTCTGTGACTTTCAACATTAGGTGATTGGGAGGGTTAAATCACAGGCTTGTGATTTAAAAACTAAACTGGCATGCAAAATTGTCAGGAAACTCACCCACCAAAATACAGCACAGCTTATCCCACACCAGTATGAGTTTAACCTTGGTGGGCTGTTTAACTTTTTTCTAGCTGCTTAACAGGATTCAACTTCTAATATGTTCTAGAAGTGAAGCTCAGTGTGTGAGGAAGTTGCGATTAATACTTCCATATTTCTTTTAGAACCCCTAGTGACCTTTTTAAAAAAAAAAAAAATCAGGAAGATCATTCTAGTGTATCTAGTCAAATTCTGTAATACAGAGTCAGTTTGAGGCTTTAAAAACCTCTGCCAATATATTACTGAATGGTGCATTTGTGAATGTAACAGTTGATACTGTTGTTAGTACGTGAAATGGCACCAGACTTCTTTTTTAGCCACTGAGTTATTCTCAAACAGACCTCTGCTTCAAAATATCTCAGTTTTAATTATCAGCCTTCTCTTAAAACTGTCTTGGTCTCAGGTGAGAGTCAGCTCTCTCCTCCCTTGTCCAAACCTGTCTGTTCTTTCAGACTTCTAAAGCTTCAGAGTGTAAGGCTAAATTTTCCTTTGAGAAATGTTTAAACAGTGGAAATTATTTATGTAGGCCTCTGAAAATTACCTAGCAAACGTCTCTGTTTTGCTTGGATTTGAGCAAACTTGGTTTTATAATGCTGATTTATTCCCACGCTTGCAAAAAAAGATTTTTTTTATTAAAATGTCTTTGGGCATTCAAAAACAAAGAAATCCCCCAACCCACCTCTCTTAAGCCTGTATGACATGATACGTGTGTGGAGGGCATCTATATAATCAGAGCTTTCTTAATACTTATTACTGAGTAAGTTAACTTCTTGGAATGACTCTTGGTATGGTAGATACTTGGCAGGTCTACTGTTGGTGTCTGAGTAGTGCAGTCTGAAATCAGTGTACAGGAAGTGCATGTTGCAAAGTTAAGTAGCTCTGCTTAAATCTTGCTGAAATTGAGTCACATAAGTAACCTTGACGCAAATATGATGTCTTTTCCTGAAATGCTGTTGCTAGAGACTTCCTTCCTGCCCCCCCGGGGGGAGGGGGGAGAAAGCCCTGCTTGGGCCTTCTCCTCCCATCTGTCTTGTAATGATTTGGACAATCTTACATCTGGGAGCTGCTGCTCGTAGTTGATAGTGCTGCATCTGGCTAATAGCCCTAAAAATGGTTGGCAGCTCTGCTTTCTGCAGTGCACTGACTTATGGCTTTACCTTTGAACTGTCTGTTTTCAGAAGTTGAACCCTCTGGACTCTGAGCACAAGAGCAATTTGAAAAATACTGTAGTTTTAGCCTGTAGCTGTCTCTCATGTTTTTTTAATCTGTGTTATTAATTTAGCTTGCCTGGGATGAAGAAAGTATAATTTCGTTGTTTGTATTACAACGAATATTACAGATTTCTTAACCTGGCTTGTGACATCTTGCAGACTGCAAGATGCTCTCAGAAATTGCAGCTGTCTTGAATATTGTATTTAGAAGTATCTGACTTGCATCTTAGTGAGCAGGATGACTAAGCAAGCATGTGCGAACGTGAAGGAGAACAGATCTTGCAGTGCAATGAAGGCTGGCAGATGAGGCAGGCAAATGGTACCATAAGTGTAACAATGCCCAACATCATCTAGTCACCACGTAGTGACAGGATGAGTGCCAGGCTCTGGCCAGGTCTCAAATGAGATCAACTGACTTTGGGCGCGTAAAGCTCAGGGAGGGACTGACATGCCCCTCTCTGCGGGCGAGTGGGGAGCTATGTCTCTGTAGTGTGAACGTTTGTATGCACAAAATGTTCTGACCTTCAGTGTGTCAGAGTAGGGAGGCCAGTGTAGGATTGCTAGTTCACCAGGCTTGTGTGGCTGCTTTCTTTGTGTCCTTTTTACAGTGGAACGCATACTAGATGATGCTGTCTTGCTGCTGCCAGCCTTTTACTGCAATATGCAACAGAGATTTTGGCAGACCTGTGGACCTCCTTTTCAGAATATAGCAGATACTAAAATTTTGGGGGGACAGGAGAGACTGGATAAGCTGTTGGAACAAAAATCCATTGAAGTTTACATCCTGAGCTGAAAATGCTTGGAGACAGGGAGGAGTGTGAAAGAAGTATTGCAGGCGTGTCTAGCTCGTCGCCTCTGGAATCTGGGTACTAGGCTAGAGAGATACTTGGTCCGACCCAGTGTGAGCATCATGTTTGTAATGCAGACTGTGACAGAAAGGATGCAATTCAGTGACTGCTGGTTAAGTAGCTGATAACTAACATCACAATGGAATTCAATCAGTATTGCAAATAGGCTCTCTGTATTCCCAGACAGAGACCATTGAGCAGAACTTAACCAAGGTAATGAGGTAACAATGATCAGGGCTGGTAACTTTGAGCTTGAAACTTAATTCTGTGGCTGGAGTAGTTATCAAACTTCCACTGACGCAGCTACAGCCCACTGAATGCAATTCTTGAATATCTGGAACGTTATCATTGTTCTTTCTCTTCCTGCCTCGTATTTCTCTGCTCATGCAGCTAGTGTTTGTAAGTGTGGCTGTTCTGCAAGCTCTGGTTTTGCATCAGAGTGGCGAAAAGTGTTGTTGGCTGTAGACACGGCATTGGGCAGTTGACTGTGTAGCTGGAGATAGCTTATGGATTGTAGAGGGGAGGGAGCTGGGAGAGTATGCTACTCTGAAGAGTTATGTTCCATCTTCTCAGTGGCTGAAATTTTTTCCTTGTAGAGGTTGAATTCTTGCTTTGCACTAACACTTTGCACTAATACCTCTTCAACTCATAGCTGGTTTTGTAAAGTCACCGCTGTCTCAAAAGAGACTGACTCAGGACAGCGTCGAATTGTACTGCGAGGCGATTGGCAATCCTATTCCTGAGATCCAGTGGTGGTTTGAGGGAAGCGAACCAAATGAGACCTATGCTCAGCTTTGGGATGGTGCACGGCAGGACCGTGTCAAAATCAACGCCACCTACAACCTGCACTCTACCAGTACCATCTACATCGCAAACCTCTCAATCGACGATTCGGGCATGTACGAGTGCCGGGCTAGCAACGACCCTGACCGCAACCACTTGTCGAAGAGCCCCAAAGTCAAGTGGATCCGTTCCCAGGCTAACGTTTTTGTCATCGAACGTGAGTGGCCATACTGAGGCCTTGGCACTTGCTCGGACACTGATGTCTTGAGTCTCTTGCCATGCTCACCCCTGCACCTGTGTCCTGTGACTTCCTGAAAGTTCCCTTCACCTTCCCATCCTGGCTGTAGAACTGAGACTCCTACCCTCCTGTGATCTCCCTCACCACCTGTGACTTGATCCGAAGTGGCCCTGCTCAAAAAGGGTTGTGACTTCCCAACCAAAACACCATGCAGCAATCCTATACCTTTTCCAGAGCCCAAGACAGTAGAACATACTGCTTAAGTGCCTCCGTGTCCTAGTGCCGGCTTGCAGAATTAAGAATTTTGATTCTGCTGGTAGACTCTGCCTTAACCACCACTGACAAACCAGCCCTGCCCTACAGCTCATTACAACTTCTGCTCCTGTGAACGTCTTGCTTTAAGCTCGCTTTCTTGCTAGTGTTACAAGCTGTGGGGATCAAAATCTGCTTTTAGTTTCTTGTGAAGCAACCATTTTTGAAATGGCCGTGTCTGTGTGTGACACTGAATGTGATTAAGTTGCTTGTACTGTGGAAGTGACCAGACTCCCTCTACTTGCAGAGCTGAAAGTTGAACTCTTGAGCTAAGAGGCTGCTTCTTTCCCAATAATAGAAACCTGAACTAGTTTGAGGGAATTTAACATCCTGCTAAGATCCTGTCGTGAATCCTGAAGTTAATGGAGCAAAATTACTAACATTTTCCTCAGCTTAAATGTACTAGGAAATACAAAGTTCCAGCAGATTTTTCTTCCGGGGGAATTTGTTGGGTAGGAGGAGAAACAAAATGCCTTTCAGCCCTGTGTAAAAATTATTCCTTCCAAAAAAGTGCAAATGGGTGGGAGGGTAGGAAACCTAAAGTGTCACAGGGCTGTATAATGGCTCTACTAATGACAGCTATTTTCTTGGACTTACCTCTTACAAGTAGAAGTGTCTGAGTAATCTTATGTTGCATAATGGAGATCTAGGACCTTTTGGAATCATGGCTACATAGGTTCTCATTGGAATAAATATAGCTATAAATTCTTGAGCTGTATCAGGTGGTGTGCATATTGCTTGCATACTGTCATATTTGTTGCTCCTGACGAAAGTGTCTTGACTGCTGTCCTCAATTATGCTACCTGGAGATGTTCAGATCTGCTCAAATTCTGGAAGGTGCTGACATGCAGCGAGTGCTAAAATGGTTCATGAAACCCTTCAGTGTGACCTTTTTCATTGCTTATTTGAGCACTTAGCTCCATTGCAATATATGAACTGCACCCATTGTAGAGATAGCAGGAGGCTCAAAACTGTTGAGTGCATGGCAGTGATCCTGACCGTGGTGGTAGCAGCTGTAGGGTCAGTATCCTATTGTTGCTAAGTGCCATCAGGCCCTAGTCATCGGGCTTTCAACTCTGTCCTGTGCTGGTATCATCAGTCCTGGTAGGAATCTGATTTAAGAAGGTAAGTAGAAAGCTATGGTGGAGACAAGGAGCTGTATTTTTTGGGAAATATTTGCCTTAAAGGTTCTTGGGGAGGTGTATAACCTCTGGAATAGCACATGTTAACTTCAGCTGAATTTACAAATGCAGGTCCAAACATCGTAACTCTCGTAACTGTCAATTCTGGCAAACTGGTCCTCTCCTGTAACATGACTACGCCTTACGCTTCCATTGAGGGCCATGAGTGGATGAGAGGAGACAAGATACTTCAAACGGACACGGAATCGAATGCTTTCACCAGTTACACGTAAGTGTCGGGGGCAAGGCCAGATAAGAATATGTCTGTACGCAAGGGACAGTTATTTTACCAGAAACGGCTAATGTTTCATATCAGTTGAACCTAAACCGAAGGACTGTCACATACAGTCTTGCATAAAATATAAACTTTGGAACTTCAGAACATGAGCAAAATAAAGGTTTGCTAAGGCCCAGCATTTCCTTTTTGGGGAGGAGGGGGCAGAAAGGAGGAAGAAGGGAAAGTGAATAGGCCACCATGCCCTCTTAATAAATTGAAAAGTACTGCTACTTAAAGTTTTCCTGCCCATGTTCTGCCGGGCTAGGTGAGTTTCTATTGGATTCAGCAGCACCAGGTAGGTGCCAGGTGGCTAGGGCTGCCTGCTTGGCTGGCCTGCTGTCTGGAGAACATGAGCACTTGGCTTTCTGCAGCATTGACATCAGTGCAGTGAGATGTTTTCCCAGAGCTTTAAGGATCTGTGGCTCTGGAAAGGAAATGAGCTCTCTGCTCCCCCAGAGGCCATGTGTGGAACAGGAGAAATGTTATCTGTACAGTTGGCTTTTATGTATGTACCTCAAGTATACTTTCAAAGTCTAGCCTGTCCCTGTAGAACAAGCTGAGTAGTTGCCTGCAAGTTACAGTTGGAAACTGTTTCCAGGCTGTAGCTGAGCAGAAACTGGAATACCAACCTTATTGTAACAGTGCAGTGAGCTTTCCACTTTGATTACAGTCAGGCCTGGCTGGCACTGGCCCAGCAGCTGGAGAGGCATCATGTCCTTTTGTGTGGCTGTGCCGACGTGCCTCTCTCCCCATAGCAACAGGGAGCTGAACAAGGATTAAAGTATTTATAACCCAGCCTCCCTCGCGTGACCTCAATTCCTTAGCTGAGTGGTTTTTGGGAGTGGGAAGCTCCATGCACAGCAGAGCTAACAAACAGCCTGTTGTCCCAGTGCAGCCAGAGAACTAAAACTTTGCGCCTGCCCCTTCTCTCAAGCGGGTATTACTAAGCTGCAGAATGAGATGTTTGTTGCAATGCACCATAATCCACTAAATCCCATTGCAGTGAATTTGCAAAGATGAAAATGGGGAGAGGTCTCACTATGCTTGCATCAGTCTAGAAACCCAGCCTAGTTTTTTCTTTGTCACTGCATTGCAGTGTGTTCCAGTGGAGTTTCTTTTATGGGAAGAATAGCTCCTAACTCTGCCTGCCTTCCTCTGAATCTGTTATCCTAGGCTCTTTGCCTATCTGCTTTAAAGCTGAACTGCAGGGCTAATGTTTTAGTCCTGAGGTGTGTGGCTGTATATCCTGTGTTGAACTAACTAGAAAACTCCGCTGCACTTCTGATTCTGTAGCTTACTTTGCAGGGTTATGTTTTTTTAGCAGGCCTGTGGCCTGTATAAAAGAGGGAAGGGCATGGAATCAGCACTACTGAGGCACTACATGTGATACTACATCTGGTGATGAAGCCGTATTGTCCTGTTGCTCCTGGTTTCCTGCTTTGGTTTTAGCTAACGGTCAGGTCTTAATTTTTCTACTTGGTAAAGGCCCTGATGAGAAGAGTGACTTGGGTAGGGAGTAAAAGCTGCTGGTTTCCAGGCTTCAGAACTCAAGATCAGGTGGTCTAAATGATCACTGTGAATTAACAGGCCTATGTCAGACTCAAGCGTACATGAAATCCTCTTCTGCTCCCCTAAATGTTTGGGGAAAGGGGTAAAGAGCAGGGTTGTAGTAGATACATGGTGCTACATAAATGCCGGAGGAGGAGAAATTGCCTATAGAGGAGACTGCTGTTTAGATGTTTATACATGACTTACTTTCCCTGGCTCTGGAATTCAGTATCTGTTTTGTGAACAGCAGTCAGTTGTGCTGCATGCTTATCTGACAACCTGTTTTTCTTGGCAGAATTGAGGGGAAGATGGAAGAGCACTCTGGAGTGTATGATTGCATCTACAAAACAAGCCCAATGATAAAAGGACAAGTGAATATATCAGGTAACCTCATATGTTTCCTTCTGGGGTGGAGGGGAGGGGGAGAGGGGAAGCTGTAGTTTCCTGAATACTTTGCTTTGGTAACTTTTCAACTTCTTGAAAAGCTGTTCCTAGGCCTCACCAATAGGGTTGCGGAACTGTACTTGTGTACTTCCAGATTCACCCTGTGAGGTAGTTCCACTTGATCAAGTGCTAAATTGTCTGTAAGATTAAGTCTTAGGCCTTGCAGTAAATCAATCTGCTGCTATGGACACATGCCCACCAGACATGGGAGAGGGGTAATACCTGGTGGTCGGATCAGTTTGAGCCTTTCAAAGCAGCTTGACGTGCATTCTCTAAGTGCTAAAGTTTGAATAAGACTCATAATGCATTTCTCAAACTGAAGTGAAGTCCTCTAGGTAACTTCCTTTGGTACTAGCTAGGTAGACTGTGGGCAGTTCAAATCTTTTGTCTGATCTTTTTGTCTGATCTGAAGTGTCTGGTTTCTCTTGCCATAGTTCCACCCCAAGTGGTGGCGTACAAGAAGTCTGAGCATGGAAATGAGGCAGACACAGGAGTGCTGACCTGCAAGAGTTCCTCTTTCCCCCCTGTCGCTTCTTGGATCTGGTACAAAAATGGTCAAGAGGTAAGCACTAGAGCATCTTCCTCCCCTTCTGCCTACCCTGCCTTCTGGCAAAGAGGTGGAGGACATCTTCCCTTGCAACAAGCTATTTCAAAATAGCCTTCCCAATGCCTTGGCAAGGAGGATTTCGATAGTGGTAGAACCATACATGGTAAGTGAACTGCTCCCCTCATGTCAGCATTGCCCTGAGAGCTGTTTTTTTTATCCCTCCTTCCAGCCTATCATCAATGGTTCTGGTCGATTCATTATCAAGTCTGGTAGCAACAAAACAGAGTTACGCATTCTTAAACTGAATATAGAGGAAGATACAGGCGACTACCACTGCAATGCCACCAACTCCCTTGGCTTTGGTGGGGCTACAGTGAACCTGCGTGTACGCAGCCGTCTGGCAGCGCTCTGGCCCTTCTTGGGTATTGTGGCAGAAGTCCTGGTTCTTGTCACAATCATCTTCATCTATGAGAAGAGGAGGAAGCCAGATGAGGTTCTTGATGGTAAGAGGCACCTGGAGTTAGGTCTTTCTGGGGAGACCAAGTAACCTGTAAAATGCAGGCAAAATGTTTTCATCGCGAACTCTGAGGAGTTCCCTTTGTAGGATGGGCCTTACACTGGAATTTGAGGGCTGCTTCTCAGCCTGTTTCCAATATAATCAGGCTAAAGAGAAAATGTCTGTCCTGTTTACTTCTGGGGGGATCTTATCAACCTTTATAAATATCCATTGGGAGGATGTAAAGCAGACAGAGCCAGACTGTTCTCAGGTGTGCCTAATGGCAGAACGAGAGGCAATGTGCAAAGACCAAAACAGGAAATTCCATCTGAACATAAGAAAACACTTTTTCACTGCAAGATTGGAAACACTTTCACTCTGACTGCTGGAACAGGTTGTCCAGAGAGGTTGTAAAGTCTCCATTCTTGGGAGGTTGTAAAGTCTCCATTGCTTGGGTCCTGAGCAACCTACAGTAGTTGACCCAGCTTGAGCAGGGGGGTTGAACCAGATGATCTCCAGAGTTTCCTTCCAGCCTCAGTGATTCTGTGATTCAGTGTTTTAGTCAGGAAGTTGCAAGCCAGTGTGCTGTTTTTGACAGCTCTTCAAGTGGTGCTTTGGGTTGGGAGTGGGAGAAGGTTCAGTACCCCTTTATCTTACCAGTTCCTTTGTACTTTCCTGAAGTACTTCACATGAGTGTTTCCAGGACTGGATTTTGTCTGTGGCAGTAATGTTCTGGAGAAGTTGATTTGCCACTATGCAGTAGAGCTTTTCTGGTGCTGCAGAACCGAGGACCATGTTGCTGGCTCTGTAGCTTAATTTAAGTTCAGCTCATCCTTGAGTTTGTTTTTGGGCTTTAAATCCACATATTCAGGCTCGTCTTCAAAGTCTAGTGCTATCTTTACTCTGTTCTGGAAACACTGGGTCCTCCCTTTCCTTATCGGTTAGAATCTCCATTGTGTTAGCCCAGCAGCCTGCTCCCTTATCTGATCCAGTTAACAATGAAGCCTAAATGATTGGTATCCTTCCTGCTTATGAGGTCAGTCACCTTAGCCCTTTACTAGGGAAGAGCACACCAGGTAGGCTGAGGGTGGTGGTGCAAGGCAAGCAGAGGGCTAAATGTTAAATATCCCTACCCTGTCTACATAGCTTGAAATCCCACTCAAGGCAGTCTTATAAATGCTTTGCCATCTGATGCTCTAGGCTGGGTAGATGACTTCTATCTTAAGGTTGTTCTATCTGCAAAAAGTCTAGAGCCTGGGTGTTGAGTGATCTGGCTTCTGATAACATCTGCCTGGTCAAGGTCCAGTCAAGTGCTGATCTACCAGTGGCTGTAATGAATGCTTTGACATTTGAAGACAGGGCATGTATACTGAAACTTCCAGAGACCCTTTCAGGTGGCTCTGAGGCCAGAGTTCCTAAGCTCGGCTTTCCAGGTGCTTGTGGGTGAGGACGGAGTGTCATTCTACAAACACACAGAGCTTTACACATCACTCTGTAGCTTTGGCCCTCTTGAGGAGGTAACAGGAAGCCAGTGTTGAGATGAACGCTGCTCCTTAAGGATATATGGTTGTGAATTGGTCACTTCCTGCCCCCTGGGATGGGGGAGAGTCTAGCTTGTGTATTGATGTGATATCCTTGCTGGTGTTACCTTTCCGCTCTTCCCTCCTCTGCTGCTGGGTGCTACCTCAATGGTAAGTAGAAGATGGTTCCAGGCATGTTTCTGCATCAATCCTCTCACCAGCTGTATGCAGTTCTTGGTGCTCAAGGCAGTCTCAGTACTTAGAGCTTGGACCTCATCAGTCCTTTCCATAGTCCAGGCTTTCTCTCAAATGGAAGAGATGATAGGAGCCTTCTGCTGGAAGGTGGCAGATTGCAAGGGGCTGGTGAAAGGTCCCACAACCTGGCAGATGTTGGCAGAGCTCTTTTCTTATCTGTGCTTCTCTCAGTGTAGCAAGAATGTGGTGTGCAGTGTGTCTTTTGATTTGGCAAAATGTATGGGGAGGAGGAAGGGCTCAGTACTGCTGATACCTAAAGCCTCATTCTTGAAGCATCCTCCCTGGATTCCTCTTGACTTGCTGTTGAAGTCTGTGTGTTTGGATCTGGGGGCCATCTGAATTCATGGGGTTGAAGGGCTGAGAGCAAGGGATATTTCCAGTGGCAGCTGTGCTGTCTCACTGCATGGATGTGTGGCTCTGTTCAAATTTTAAGCCCTAGTGGGAGGACTGGCTGGCATGCTGAGGATGCAAAGAGCGCAAATATTAATAAACAGACTTTACCAGTCAGCAGGTGCTGCTTCAGAGACTGTCCAGGACACTTTCCTATGTAATTCTTCTACTTCTGTAACCTCCTGGGGTGGCTTCAAAGTGTGCCTCAGGATTAATGAAGTGCAGGACCTGATCTCTGCTGAGCAGAGGGTAAAGACTTGGTTATCCTGTGAGCCAAACCTACTCCATGCCAACAGAAGCAACTGCATAACAGGAGCTTATATCTAAGCTTAGGCAGGACATGAGCTTAGACAAAAAGCAGCTTAATAATCGTGAAGGGGATGGCAGTGTTTTGCTAGGAAGTAGCCCCCTGCTATCCCCAGTGAAATGCAAGTTCTGTTGCATGGGATGACAGCTTGCTGTCATTGCTTCAGGCTCCAGTCCTGCATGGACACTAGTATCCAGTAATCTGTGTGGAATCCCAGTCCTTGGAGAGTTTTAAAGAGGTGGCAAAGTAGAACAGTTTACTTCTTGCATATTCCTCCCTGATGATGCTATTTTTCTCTTCTTTCTGTGCTGTCCTGAACATGAAGATGATGATGGAGGTTCTGCACCACTGTAAGTACCTTGTTTTCCTGTTAAGCCCGGCTTCTACTGGTAGATCACATTCCTTGGGGAATCTGCTCTGAATACAAACTAGCTGGTGCTGGGATACCTCACTAGCTTTCTGGGAGACCTTTTTTCACCCCATAGTTCATCTAATGTGGCCTGTGTATCCATGGCATAAAACTAAGAATGGCAGAAAGGTCTCTAAAACTGTCATTGTCCTGAGAAATGCTCAAGGTGTGACAAGATAAGATTAGTTACTGGGACCTGAATTCCAGTAGTGGCTAGGGTGGGCTTTTGTGCTAGCTTTTTTCCTCACTGTCCCTTTTCTCCCGTTTCCAGGAAAAGTAATGCCACAAACCATAAGGACAAGAATGTCCGCCAGAGAAACGCTAACTAAGAGCAGGAGCCAGGTGAGTACAATTTCTGAGGGCAGAGGTTTTGCTGAGAACTGTTGCTGTATCGGACATCTCTACCTCCTCAGTGGAAGGTTCACGCAGTAGTCTGGAGAGGATTATCTAGGTGGAACCTCGCTGGAGATATTTATCAGCTGTTCAGAGGACTGCAGTATCTGCAGCCAGAAAAGGACCCTGGAGGAAGCAGAAAGGTCCTGATGTAACATCCCTGTAGGCAGAGGCTCTTCTGGCCGAACATCATACCACAGTATCTGGGGAGAGGGAGTAGAAAGTGCTGCTGTGAAGTTCGGGCACAGGCCAGTAGTAGCCTCCCAGGAAACTGCCAAAGCTGCTGGAGCTGAGTGTGTGCAGGGCGCAACAGTGTATGTGGCCTCTGTCAGATAGACTAGGGGAGGCAGAGAAGAAAGTGATAGTCTGCTGTGTGCCTCTATAGCATGGGAGGGTCAGGACTGCCTGATAACTCCTGCTCTGGACTTGGGCAGGAAGTGAGTCCCAGCCCAGAACTTCACTCAAGGCAGCCTTTGTCCGGTTCTGTTTTATCAACCCCTCTAGTGCAGTGCGGCCTTGCTGGCATGAATGGGTTCTCTAACTGGCTTTTTTTCTCTCATACCAGGTGACGTGTAGCTGAAGAACTTGTCTGGACATTTTTTTCTTCTAATTTTTTTTGGTAAAATAGCACCACGAATATCCTAGTGCATCCTTGCGATTCAGTTATTTCACTTTCTAAAGAAACTTAAGTTGTAGAATCTAAAATATACTTTTTTTTAAAAAAAAGAAAGAGTTGTGGGAGGGTTTTTCTACCTATAAATGTAAATCCCTTGTTGCTGGTAGTCTTGGTCACTGGCTGGCTGTCCTAGGTTTCTTCATGTTACAGAGGGAGTGGGTGGGAGCAGAACCTACTTCTGTTCCTTATCTGTGGGAAGAACAGGGTATGTTGGGTAGGGCTCTTCTGAAATGCCCTCTTTGCCCCACCTTAGCTTTTAAGAGGCCATACAAGGAGGCAAGGAGAGCTGACCCTGAGCATGAAAGTGAAATGTGCACAGCTGCTTGTGTGCTATTCTGTTGGAGGTGGCTGGTATGGCCTGTGTTTCCAGTAGATCTGCTGTCCTGTTTTGCATCGATCAGGAAGAAACTGCTTTGGTAACCTTCTGGAAGTGGCCTGACCTGACTGAAGGGATTAGGAAACTAGTTATGTGTCTTTCCCAGTGCATCACCTGGAGCAAAGCTGCATCTTTCCTTAGCTTTCAGGCAGTTTTTTTTGAGTCATTCATGCAGGGCTGCCGGGCATGTTTCTGTGTGGTTCCTTGGGGAAGAGTGATGGAACAACTCATTCCTCGGTGTGTAGGACACCACCCCTGGACTCGCACACAGTGCCATACTACTTCAGGCCAGCATCCCAGTTGGCTCCCTCCAGAGTTGCTCTTGTTGCCCTCTTGAACAACTGTGAGGCGGTGTTAGAGCTGAAAACTGACTAAATATGATTAGTGTTAACTTATTTAATGGGGTTTTGTTAGTGTCTCTTCTAAAATTGCTACAGTGGGGGATAGGGGCAAAGTGTTGGAGTGAACACTGGGGCTGCGGTGCTTTGAGGAGCAGCTTAACAGCATGTATTCTTGTGCTTAAGCTATCTTGATGTTTGTGTGACATAGAAGCCTGAAAGCAGTCAAATGCTAAGTGGAGTCTGTTATCTTTATTGTTGGGTAGCACTGAACTATTCCATCTGTTAACATACTTCACAAATAAAGATGATTCCTCTTTTTTCCACCTCTGTTTGGATTCTGGTAACTCTTCCCTACTAGTTGGACACTTGGGCTGTCTGATCTGCTCTGACTCATTTCTGGTCCTCTGGCTGTAGAACATGAAGCTTTGTCTCATGAGCTCATGCTAACTCAGACTGGACTCTTTGCCAAGTGCTTGCACCTTTGAGAGGTGTTCAGGCCTTTACAAATGGAGATGAACACTGTTCCCTGCTCTGCAGAGACAGAGGCCAAGGTGATGGGGTCTCTGGCATTATTGCTCTTGTTGCACAGACTTCAGTTCCCAGTTTCACATTAGCAGAAGCAACACTGGTGGGAGCGTGAGGATGGCACAAACCTAAGCAGAGGTTGAGTCTCCTTTCCAGATCCTGCCTTAACCTTGAAGAGCTTTGTTATATGTTATCCTGGAGTCCTGCTAAATCAAAGCTATGCTGTCTAAAGGGATGCTGGAACCAAATAAAGCCCTAATGTGTTTGATCCAGCTTGGGGGACGGGGTAATAGTATCAGCTCTCTGATAACCAGTTCTTCTCCCCTGGGGGAGCAGTTCCTCTGTCATGTCCTGCTCTTCCTCTAGGGCCTGGGACTCGGAGCAAAGCAACTGGGTTGCTAATGAAGATGGATGGGTTTTGCAGCATGTGAGGCAGCCTTACTTCTGCAATGGAGGAGGTTGTGTTCAGTGGACCTAGCCTAATCCCCAGTGGCATTGCTGAGTGCTGGGGCCCATACCTTTGTGCACCCTGAGGTGGTGCTTGGTGGCCTGGGGACCCAACCAGCTCCAGAGAATGCCTTCCCTTGAGCCAGGCCTTGCTTTTGCAGGGGAGGGGATGCAACTGCCCTGTTTGGAGGACAGGCTTCACCTCACCCTGCTGCAAGGCTCATCAGTGTCCATGAGGCAGCAGCCTTGCCCTAGGGCAATCTGAAAATACAGGAGGGGCCCTTGCAGGCAAGGCCTCATGCTTCAGGCCCTTATGGACATGGTCTCGGGTCCAAGCCAAAGCTGACCAAGTGAACTCTGGCAGCAGGCTGTTAACAGTGCTGAATGTAGCCCCTTCTCTAGCACGGGCTGGGGCTGTGCAAGTCTGCCACCAGTGAAAAGGTTTGGGGAGCAGTTCTGAAAGGGCTCTTAAGTTTCATCTGTGGGTTATCAGAGCCTTTGGATGGGAAATCAGAACATCTAAAGGTGACAGACTAAGCTCCAGCCAAGTGCCTGTGGCCTAAACAAACAGTGGCAATGCAGGCTCCCCACAAATCAGATAACTTAAGAATGCTGCTGGGATGTGTCACCTTCTCAAAGGAGAGGAACAAAAGGTGAAGGTGGGACTGATTCAAATGGAAACCCAGATTGGAGAAAGACCTATGATGGCAGTAAAGGGCAGTGGGGCTAGCTGGAGACCTTGATCATTCTTAAATAACTGCTTTTTCTGAAGGGAGACAGCATGAAACAGTGCGAGGGTGAGTGGTAATCTGCTTGCCTGTGGCTCTGTGTGGAGTACTTGAGCTTCCCAGAAACAGTCCCTTCAGCAGCAGCTATTGTAACAGCACTTGGTTTTTCCCCCTCATGCTGAATTCAGGGTGACTTCAAGCTGACCGTAAGTTACTGGGAGCCGCTGAGCGCAGCGGAGCCTTTCAGGCTTCAGTGCGCTGATGGAAGTCAGCGCAGGCCCTGTGGGTTGCCCAGGCGGATCAAGAAGGGGGGTGCTCAAGCCAGCGCTGTGCTTGCAGCCATGCTTGCGCCCAGGAGCTAAAGGACCAGGCAGTGCCTCCAGCTGTTCACCCACAGACCAGGAGCATAGCTGCCCCTTTGTAGGTTTGGTGCCAACTACCGAGCTGCTCCCCTGCATCAGGCCAGGCACGAAGTGTGTCTGTGGGCAAAGACCTTAGCAGGTGTTTGCAGCTGACATGCATAAATGTCCTGTGCTTTTCTAAGCAATTATTTTTTCTCCCTGCTCTTACCTGTGAGAGAGCAAAGGTGCAAGGTCTTTGCTTGCTTTGTACACAGGCTGGTGCTCTCCAAGGACTCTGCAGTCTGGAAGACTTGGGGAGGGATGTCCTTCCTGCTTACAAAGCATGGAGTTCAGCTGAGCCTGCTTTTGTCAGTGTTCCTGTCCTTGGAGTGAGGTAGTGGCAGCTGCAGCTGTTGGCTGGAGAAAGCCCACGTGTGTGTGCACTCACACGCGTGCGCACATTCCTAGCAGGCCAAAGGCACCCCTGCTCGCCTGGGGAGCGCTGCCCGGCCTTTTGTTTTTTACAAGGATGCGTGAGCTGCGGCCTTGTGGCCTCACCCTGAAGCCAAACACTTTGTCCCTGCTTCGGCTGGGGTAATTAGGAAGCATGGCTCTGACTGCAGGGCCTTGCTCAAAGAGCAGCTGGGTGCGGCGCCAGGTAGGTCTGGGAGCAGTTTGTAGGGCCCCACGCCCTGGTCTGGGCCCAGCCTGATAACGTTTCTCTTGTCTTGGTGCGTCCGCAGCCAGCCTTGCCCCCGGGCTGCCCAGGCAGCATGGCTCTGCTGCACGTAAGTGGGTTGGTTATGCAAGCCCTTTCACAGCCTGCTGCGTGCTTGCGGGTACCGTCCTGGTGAAAAATCAATGCGAGGCTTAATTTCTTTGATGAGGATTATGGGTCCTGCCTGACCCTGCTCTGGGTCCACAGCACAAAGCCCTGTTTGTGCCTTTTGTTCGCAAGGGCTGGCACAAGGGTGGAAAGCAGGCTGGGGAGCTGGGGAGGGGGATGAAGCAGCATCGTGCTGCTCTCTGCTGGGCTGGCTCGCCCACAGCAGCTGTCAGCAGAGAGCCAAGGCACGGCCTCGCCGCCCTGGCTCACGCTCCCCTTTTTGCGACGCCCCAAGGAGTTGAGTCCTGCGCTTGGACGGGGTGAACCAGGCCTCTCTCCCATCCCTGAGGGCTGCAGCCGCTTGCTGATGACTCCTCACGGACGAGAGCCCTGAGCTGTTGGCTCCCTGCTGTGTCCCTTGTTTGCCCCCGTGTCCCCGGCCTCCCGCTCCAATCAAAACACGGTCTTGGCTCTTGGGATGCTGTTTGTTCCCGCCAGGGCTCCTCTCTGGACTTGGATCAGATCGAAACGGGAGGTGAATTTGCTGTCCTGGTAGATGCGCTGCCTGCGCTTGGGCAGACGGAGCAGTCGGGACGCGCAGAGGGGGCCCCTCTGCTTGCAGAGCAAGCCCCCTGCGGCCTGGAGCGCTGCTTCCTGGGCGTCCTCCGCCT